CAGTTTTGGTATCTCTATCAACATGTGCATTGCCAAGGAGTTTATAAACCAAAATAAACATTTTGTTTTGTGTAGCAACAAATAATTTAATCTCAGTTAAAAAAAAAATAAAATCATTTTGGGATAAAAGCAGAAGCTGAAACATTATCATCTTCTATGGGGTGAAAACTCTGAAATTTGCTCCTTGTGGCAAAAAAGCCACCATGATGTTGCTTCTCATCTCCTCGTTTAGGTCGGTGTCATTCAGACTCCGCTAAAAAATCATAGCTCTGCAGCCCTTCTACAGTTCTCTACAGATTTTAGCATGCACTGCAACTTTTAATAGTATTATTAGACTCTTTTAGCAACACAGAAACTGTAATAGCTGGGCTGATTAAGGTAGCTAGCCAGCTATGTAGTCGTTGCATCCCAGTGAATCATTGCCTAATGCAGAGGACTAGGAGGGGTCAGACAAGTTGTTAGTCAGGAAAAAAACCCTTTATTCTCTCATGTGGTCCTGCCACTTGCAGAGCAGTAAGTGACAATTCTGAAGTTAGCGCTTGGCCTGCAGCTAAGCACAAGCAAACAAGGCAATTATTTGGTGCAGAAAAACATGAGACATTAAAACAGCCGTGACCCTGCTGCCCATATCAAAGCCCAGAAAGCCCAGCTGGCTGCTGCCTTTGAAAGGCCAGAGGTGCACAGTCCAGCTAGCCCTGGGTATGAAGAGCAGCAGTGTCCTCTGGGCAGTGGGAGATTTGGTTCCCCAGGGACCAGCCCCGGGAGCTCTGTCCCACTTCTGCCCCTTCTTCCTCCTCTCCCTTTTGGCAGGAGGCCAATGCCGGGGCTTGTCCCAACACCACATCCTACTGATAGCAAAAGGCGGTTTTGCCTCCACTGATAAGAAGCTTTAACAAACCTGAACAAAAAGTTCTTTGCTGTTGCAAAGGAGCTGTGAAGCTGAATATCCTTAAAATGGAAGTACACACGTAAGACTCCTTTGCACAACACCCTCTGTAGTGTTGGAGCACTTATCTCATCTTGCTGACTTGAAGTGGGATGGTATGCAGGCTTTCGTGTTGCAAAGAGCTTACAGCTTTTTGGCTGAGATTGTCCATGGGTGACTGTTCAGTTACCCTTGCACTATCTAATTCCTTTCAGTCACAAATTATATGCTTCTACGTAACAATAGGAGCTAGCAGCCTCAAACTTTCCTCCCTAAACCAAATTTAGCAAAGAGACGTGCAAATGGGACTGAAAAAAGAGTAGGTTCAAGCCTCTGAAATAAATCCTTCTCACATCTGAAGATGAAGAGAGATCTGAAGAAAGCGTTATACTTCTCCAACTATGATAGTCAGGGCAATGAATTTCTTAAATTTAGTTCATTAAGTCTTTCATATAATTCTGGATTCTTCAATAAAATAGCTGTGTGAGATGCCAGAGTCCACACTCTCTATATAAATTCCTGTATGGAAAGGATGTCATTGGCTCTTCTTGTGATCCAGGGAAAAAATGCAGATCTTCTGCGGGTACCTCTCTCTTTCATACCAGAGTGTTGGGGCCATGGATGAGGCTGTGGATCGGTGGATTCACACCAGTGGATGGGTGGAATAGCTTTAACCTTCCCTCCTCCCTGGCTGGCCCCAGTCCCCACTGACTGTGGTGGGCAGAACAAGAGCATGATCACAGCTGCTTTGCACTACTACATTTTGGGCCATGTCCAGAGGTACCACAAATAGGCATTTTTGCCACAGTTGGTTCAAGTGAATTTGCTAATGTTTCTGTCACTAAGCAACAGGTATCATCAACTTCACAGCGATCAGGACTGGTCAGTGGAGTATTTCATAGAATCATACAATAGAATCAGAGAATTTTTAGGTTGGAAAAGATCTTTAAGATCATCGAGTCCAACCGTTAACCTAACCCTGACTTCCCACCACTAAACCATGTCCCTAAGCACCTCATCCGCCTGTCTTTTAAACACCTCCAGGGATGAGGACTCAGCCACTTCCCTGGGCAGCCCATTCCAATGCTTGACAACCCTTTCTGTGAAAAAATTTTTCCTAATGTCCAACCTAAACCTACCCAGGTGTAACTTGAGGCCATTTCCCCTCATCCTATCGCCCGTTACCAGGGAGAAGAGGCCGACCCCCACCTCCCTACAGCCTCCTGTCAGGCAGTTGTAGAGGGCGATCAGGTCTCCCCTCAGCCTCCTCTTCTCCAGACTAAACAATCTCAGTTCCCTCAGCTGCTCCTCATCAGACTTGTGCTCCAGACCCCTCACCAGCTTTGTTGCTCTCCTCTGGACTTGCTCCATATTTGTAAAGGTCCTTTAAAAACAGTTAATGTTATTAGGTAAAGAACATTTTAAACACAAAGTCAGACATGTAAAAGGACTGTATTTAGTCATCAGAAAGCAAAGTGAGAGCAGAAATTTTAAAAAAAATTATCATGCTGACATGACGTGAATGCATTTGGCTGCACCCTATGCTTCGGGTGCTTATCGTGAGTGGAATGCTGGCGCCTGGATGCGAGTCAACCAGCAAATATTGCAAATAACATGTTCAGCATTGCCAGATTATAGGTCTAAGCAGAAGCACCCTTGGCATACGTACCCACTGAAATGATGAACAGGTGCCCACTATAAACCTGTGTACTGAGTTGCAGAAACAGCCCTCTGGTGTGCACCTTACACCTGTAGTGTTAAATATATTCCAATCTTCTTTAATTGTTTCTGTAGCATCCTGCAGGGAGCTCAAAATTGTTTGCATATAGAAAAAGAATGTCTAGGTTTGGTCACAGCTGTGTTTGAAGCAGCATGTTATTATTTTGGAGAGAATTAAATAATCAGTGACACCAAATTATAGTTTCCTGGCCTAGAACAGCATCCCCTTCACTTAGGATGCCAAGAACAATGGAGCGTCAGAGGGCATTTATAATAGAGAAGGAAATACTATCAGTATTTTTGAAAGCCACGTTCTTTATGTCATTTCTATGTTCTGCCACGGGCTTCCTGAAAGCTGCTGCACAAATCTCTTTGGACAATAATTTTCTCATTATTCAGGTGCCCAATTCTAACTGAAAATGAATTCATCACCTAAATACTTTTCCATTTATACCCATAGTCTGTTTGCAGCCATGTCACTCCTGTCAATAGGACTAACAGCAATGTTCTGAAGACAGCAACACTGAAAGCCTCCAAGCCACTCCCTTAATATATCACTACCACACTGCTGACGATACTGCAAAAGAACAAGGATCAGAATGGATTTTAATATGAAATTTGAAAAGAGAGCATGAATTTGACTGGCTAACAATGTGAAAGGCTGCTTTAAACACAGTTATCAAGCTGTACATTAAGAAATGCAGAAATGTCTTTTACAAAGAGAAGGCAGTAGGGCAGATGATGTGAAGAGGCAGAAAATGCAGGGACAACGAACAAAAAAGCAGGCACCGTAACAGCAGACTCCTGTCATTTAACATCATCATATTCTGTCACGGCTTTTTGACTCAGGCAATTTTCCAGCTTTCAGGGTTTCAGTTTGCGTTCAAGGAATGGACGTCTGGACTGTTCCAAAAACGACTGCTGAACTGCAGAAGTGGTTGGTCAGGCACATTTGATCATTGATGCCGTAGGGATCTGTGGTGAACAGCCTTACGAGGTCGCAGACACTTTTTCCCATCATATGATTTGCCAACCTAAGAGTTAAGTTTCTCAGCTTCAGCACCAATTCTTACAGACTATGAATTTCATTATAGCTGCCACCAAGGTCATTGGAAAAATCAGATGCAAGATGCATTTTCAGTCCAACCCGGCCTCTTCAAATGCAGATAAGGTCACCTTCAGTTAATAGAAGTTGTGGGAATCTCATTAATGTCATCACTTAAAAGTGTTCAGAAGTTATAGCTCTGAGCATGCAAGTTTGTGACAACCCAGGATCTTGCACTTTCTGTCTGTTTCTATCCCTCGTGAAATAAAAGCTAGATGTATGGAAGTTAGCATTGGTGAAAGTGACTTTAAGATAATACTGTGTCATCATTTTATTAAAAGGTCAATAAAAAATCCCATTAAAAAGATAAGTGAAAAAATCCTAAGTGCAATCAGACGTTCAATATTCACCCCTCAGCAAGATCCAAGAAGGACATTCATGCTTTTAAGTTTCTTTAATACTTAGTTTCTTCTCCTCCTTGGAAGAAAGTCAATATGCTAATTGAGCTGTAGGTCAAATGTTTTTTTCTTTTGACTATTAAAGCCTCAGAGAGAAAATATTGCTTAAGAGTTGATCAAGATGAAACCTGTCTGAAGTGAAGAGCTTTGAATTGTATAGAACACTTGCATACATTTATGTATTTATATAATGTTAGCCTGGGAGTACGGCAATTCAGCTATACTTTTCACATTGCTAATTTTGCTGAAGTTAGTACTGATGAAATGGTTTTGTATGGCCAGAAAGTCTTAGAAATTATGTGTGCTGATGGGCTATGTCTGGTTTTACCCTCCTACTGTACTGTCTCTCCAAAGGAGCAATGTTGCACAGCGAGGACTGCAAACAGGAGAAAGTTATTGCGTTTTCCCTCATTTAGCATGAAGGGCCAAGCTCTCTGAGCTATACTGTCCAGCATGGCAACCACAGAAGAGGAGTACAGGCAGAAAGGTGGGGGAAAACAACAATTTCTGGTGTTTAGATGGACTTCTGCGAGCACTGCAACCAAATTTTGTAAAGCCTTAGGAGCAGTGACACTGCGGAAAGTGCCACTGGGATCATGACCGGGAAGGGAGGCTGCACCTACAGCCAGCTTCAGAAAGGCTGCAGCACAGCTATAGCCGTGGGTTTAGGACAAGCCTCCCTAAAGCAGCAGAGCAAGGCCAGCAAGGGCCAGGCACTCATCTCCTGCCACAGCCCAGGCAGGGATGCCTCATATCACAGTCAGGCTAATCTTTGAGTCCTACTATTTACCAATCCAACAAAAAAGAAAAAAGTTACTAAGCTCGCTAACCTTCTATACTCTTATCTTTCCAGCAATCTCGACACAGAAGAGCTCTGCGGTAAGTTCCTTTTTGGGCAAGAACTTAATCTATGCCTGCGGCAGACCTGTGCAAGTGAACATAGCATGTGATATGATTTTTTTTTTTCTGTTTAATCTTTGTAGCTCATACAGAAAATAATTTCCATTGAAAGAACTCCTGGGAAAATGCAGATGGTTTATAGTCTTTTCAGACTCTGTCATCCATTACATGCAGAAATTACTTTGAAAACATTTTTCCTGATCAATACTTCACATTCTCTGAGCTTCAAGATCTGTTTTGATGTAAAGATAGATAGATAACTTTTATCTTATTACCCTTTGATGTGAGATATTTTTTCTAGTTAGTTTATCACTTTCAGAGGTATGAGTGCTTTGGCAATTTTGAAAGATATTGTCATATTAGTACCACACAGGAGGAAAGTCCATTACTTTCCTCCAACTTAAGCCAGTGAGAACAGCAGTTTGACAAGTCCTATCATACTTCGCCACAAAAAACTCCTGCAAGACCTAGAATTTGGCCCAGTTACCCAATTCTGTACCCCATTCTGGTCTGTGAGTCATTTCCCCAAAACCCTGTTTGCTCTCCAACTGATCTTACAGAACCTGATTTAGGAGTGCTGCTTGCAGCAGAAAACATTTCACAGAAAATTTCTGCAAGTCCTCCCACAAAATGTAAAAAAAAAAGTTATACTTGTCAAAACTAGCCTATTTCTGAGGGAAAGAGGGCAGCCTGATCAAGTTTCCAATGGTCAACAATGTTGAAGACCTATATAAGCTTAAAATGCTGTCAAGTTGCGTGCCAGCTCACTTACTTACCCACAAGGTGACTTTATCCATGGCCAAGAACCCACTGAGAGGCACCTCAGCTTGTGGCTTATAAATATATGACAAGAGACTCGGCTGAAGTGAATTGGGCTGTGACAACTTCTGCTGGTTGAGAATCTGGCCAAAATTATATTAAACTAGCCAAGGCAGGCAGATGGTTTTGTTCCACAAGGGGTTTACTGCTGTTGATGTTGCCCTGGAGGCTTACAGGTTTGCTCAGCACCCGGCCCCACCAGCCACCCCAGGCTGGCCAGCAGGCTGAGGGGGGTATCAGCCCCACACTGGCTCTGTTTACTGCCTGTTTTGATGAAATACGGGCTGCTTCAGCTGCCTTGTAAATCTTTCATAGGTTGCCACTAGGGTGTTCCTTATCTGTGAATCTGGTACTGAGTTTACTCAACACATGTTTAAGCTAGTGATTATACAGCTCTTTCTGAGTTATCTCAGTTCTCCTCCAAAATGAAGCTTCACTTCCAGGATACTAATTCACAGTATGTTTTCATTCTAAGTCATTTCATTCAACCTCTGAGCAGTGCCAGGTTATGTCGCAGTGTTCCTGAAAACTTATGCTTTCATGACGCCCTAAGAAGCTCACGCTGACCTCTTAAAAGCCTCAGAGTATTGCTATTTATTATTTCAAAAAGCTCCTGTCTAATCTCGTTCCTCCTGTCTGCCATTTAGTTGTTTTTCAGGCTCTTCCAGGTGGTCTGATGTCTAAATGCCTTGTCTAACACAGTCTCTAGCTTTAACATTTTCTTTCTTTCTTTTTCATACTTTTTCCTTCCTGTGCCTCCCTCAGTTGCATTTTGCCTCATTGACCACATGGGAACTCAGGTCATGATTTCCTAGGGTCAACTTCTCCTCTTGCTGTAACGCCTCTGACTGAAGTCTGCCCCCTGATTTTACATCAGGTCTTTCTGCTAAAATGTCCTTTGCTTTGAGCAGCTATGCAAGGACATCCTGCAACTTATTTCCATGATTTTTGTTAAAAGTATTTTGCATACTTCATACTTGTTGAAAATATAATCACAGTACCTGGGACTAGAAGCTTATCTGGGCATCTCATGGTCTCTTCTCTTCTCAGAGAGAAAAATCTGGTCTCAGCTGAACCCGACTCACAACAGTCTCGCCTTGATCTTATCTCCTCTAAGGACTTTATCAGTGTTATTTGGTTTTGTATCACTATAATCAGATTTAGTACATAAACACAAAAACTTCATTTCCTGATAGTAGCTGTAAAGTAGGCTACTAAACTGAAAATCCAGCTTAGAAAGAAAGGGTAAATATTTTGAAAGTAGGTCTCTTTCAGCTCTCAAACTGATATTTTAAATTTTTTGCCAATTTGGCAACTCATTTATTGAAAGAAAATGTTTTGAAACATTGATTTTGGTATTTTAAGTAATCCAGGAATTATTTTGATGAAAATTTTAAAATAAAATCATCCCTTTCATTGTAACTCCTGTTCATTTTATATATTTAGATAGTTAATAATACCATAAGTGAATTCAGACTTGATAAAATTGATATTTAATGAAATATTGATTTTTCAGGTCATGAATAGGTGACGTGGGTTTTCTTCTTCTTTTAGAATATTTTTCCCAGCACTTAGGAGAGTATGAAAATGTTCTGTCTGTCTTGGAAGACTTAAACATAACCATACTGAAGGCAATGGACAAAACAAAGAAAGTAAGTAAAAATTGTGACATTTTCTTTACATTGTATAGTTTGTTTATTTGAATATGTATCCAGTAATTTTATCTAAAGTTACTAAATCATACCTAAGTTCTTCCACATATACGTGTTTGTAGCAAAAGTCCAGTAGGAAAAAGGTTGTGAAAATGGTTGAGTATCAGAGCTGTAAAGCTCTGTCTGCAAAGTTTGGATATAACCAAAATGATCTTTGCAAATGATCTGAAGAATGTTCTTCATATTGTCGTACAAGAGAGTATTCCATGTCCCATGCCAAATGTGGGTAAGTATTATCAGTATATCAACATTTGAAAATAATCCAAATTTTTGAAGTAGAAAACATGTTAGTGAAAGATGCTAATGCCTTAAACTATATTAACGACTACCATTAAATTAGGTAGGCAAGAGTCATCTGGAGACATGCTAGGGAGGTATATTTGTGTTATTGTTAAAAGTAGATTTCAGGATAGTTTAAAAAGATTAAAAAGGGCTTTAATATCTCTCCCCATGTTCCCCAATACTTTTATGATTATAAAACCATCCTGTAGGCAGTGTCTGTGCATCCCAACTACTTAGTCCCTAAATATGACTGGCCAACGTAAATCACTTGAAACTATTTCTGACTGTAGCAACAGCAGACACAGAAATTTGGATTGAGTGAAACATCCTGGCCAAAAATAATATTTCATTTCCATTTCAGGCATTTTAATCAAAACCAGCACTCCCAGGGTCAGCAAAGAGGTGCTGTTAGGGCCGTTGCCCACCAGCGCTGTGAGGGGGTATTCTGCCCAGAGGGAGGAGATGTTGCTCAGGAGTTCGGCTTCTCCATCCATCCAACTGGCGGGGGATGTAGCCGTGCTGTAGGACATGCTACATAGCTGATCCACTTGGCACTCAATTCATTATGGTCATACATGATCGTTTGTGCCACATCCCAGCTCAAGTCTGATCAAAAGTGCATCAAGACACTGGGTAATATGGTGCTTTTCCCTTGCTGAACAGTTAAATATTTTGTGCAAGGTGGAATAGCTTCAAAAGGTGAGGGAAAGCACAAACCAGAGAAAAAAGTGAACCTAGATCCTATAAGCCCAACCCCAGACCCGCACCACAAGGCTGTTTGCTGGAAGGTGACCCATCAACAACAGAAATTTCAGCCCAAAGTATTCAATGAGAATTTAGTGAGGGGGAGGAAAAACACTGATTTTTTCAGTCTATCAATGGAGAGATCAGCGTGGAGAGAGCTGTGCTGCTCTAGCAAAGCTGTGATCTTTGGCAATCAGGTGTTTGCAAGAGTACAATACTCATACATTTTACATGAACTGCCAAAATAAAAACCTGTTTATTTACAGCCTGAACCAGTAAGCTGAAAGTCTGTTCATGCTGTCCATCTTCCACTCCTAATGAAGTGAATGTGTGCTGACTCACTGCCTCATTGGGCTGGACACTGAAAAGCAACAGATTAGTTTATTCTAGCCATGCATAATTTTAACAAAAAAAATCAGCCATGTATATAAACTACAGCTAAAGGGCAGGACATGTCATCTGATAACTACTGGAAGTAAACAGAACACAGCATTTAAGAATTACGTCAGAAGTTAATTACAGAGGAGGAGTCCCAGTAGGCTAATCAGAGTTGTAAGAAGTAAGCATTGGCCTGACTAGGAAACGGATAAAAAAATCTGGAATATTAATAAGTGTTTCATTTTTCTACTTGAAGAACCTATCTAAAAAAAAAACCCACCACAATTTCTTTGATTTTTATTTTCCTGACTGAAGATTGAAGCTTAATGGGTTTTCTCTCTTTCGGGAATATCCCAACTGACTATTCATTAGAGGTGGCAGAACTAGAGCAAGGCTAACACTGGAAAAAATACTTTTAATTCCAATTAGTAGACACAGTGTGCGAACATAGTCAAACAAAAATTGTGTCTTCAAATATTCTAAAATAGAGCTTTCTGCCAAGGATATACCCAGCAACTACAGCTTTGTATGGAAATTAAATTCGCAATCCAAATTTGGGATTATCCACACCAGGAACTCAGTTCTCAGGAAACAGATAGGTTATGTAACCTGACTACCTGATAAATCATTGGAGTGCAAATAGTAAAATTTCCATCTTAATTAGTCCAAGCTTTTATTGAAGTCTAAATTCTGGAACATATCAACCTAAAATCAGAGCTGGAGCAAAAGCTAGTTAGCATATTGAGTTAGCATGGATAAATGATGTTCATCTCCAGTGACACACAGTACATGTGATGTAGCTCCTAGCTCAAGTTGACTCCGCAGCTCAGACAAGCAGGTACTCAGAAATGGGTGGTCTGGTTATGAGCGGCCATTGGCATGTATGCAGAGCAAGGCTTGGGTTTCCCCTCCTAGTGCAAAATAAAACTTTGTCATTGCTCTGCCGTTGCAGCCACCTACTCCCTTAGTCACTGAGTAATGGGAGCATTTATTATGATCTTGAAAGCCATCATCTGGCTGGAAAATTCATCTATAGAAAAAAAGCCCAGAAACAAAGCTTTGAGAGCTACAAAGACATGGCAGTATCTACAATGGCTGAGTCAGTTCCCAATGACCAGGACCAAACTTCCAAGGACAGAATTCTCTTATTAAAAACCAAAAGTAAAAACAACCTGAACTCCACCCTGCAGAGCATGGGGCTGACTATGGACCCAGTCCTCAGGGTTGCCGTGAGTTTTCCATCCTCTCTGACTTTTCATGGATTGGAGAAAGCTCAGCACCTCTAACTATCAGTCTCTGCTAGACTTTCCAAGGGTGCATGCCACTTCAGGTAGGCAGCTCATTGAGTCTTAAATATTTGACGGGGGGAAGGAGCAACTTGGTGCTTCATTCATTTTATTTATCCAGTTCAGAGTCAGATAAACAATCACCACTCAGTCCTTCCTATAGGAAATCCCTGCTTTCCTACCAATTCATGTTGCCCATACTCAGCAGGTACTTTGCACAAGAGGCAGCTGCGCAATTGGAGCCCTAGAAGAAATGTTCAGTTTTAGTTTCCAAGGAGACCCCGGAGAAGGAAGATGTATCAGTCTTCAACAAAAGGCTGAACAGTGGATCAGAATGTCTGAAAAATCTAAATACCTAATCTATAAACCCTCCTTATTCCAGATAGAAACAGAAGTAGAAATTTTTAAAAACCCTAAATGTAGTTTAAGGGACTTTGCTTTACTTTATGGTGTACATTAATCTAAGTTTGGTAACACCAAAGTGTGTGGCGTTATTTGACTCATATCTGTAAATCTAGTACAAAAGTGTGCACTGAGTAGTTTTTGTACATGAAACAGACTTGACTCTTCATGTTGTCTTGTTTCAGTTTTGAAAATCACATGCGTTAATGAACAAACACTTTGGGTCTTGTTTACAAATATTCCCAACCTGTTCAGCCTTTAGTCAGAAAGATCTCTCACCAAGAGCAACTGGCTTGGCTATGGACTCCTGGATTTAAATCAAGATCAGCCAAATTGTCCCCATCACTCCATATTATTTCAATGTGTAGATATTTTTAATACAACAGATTAGCAGATAATGGTATCCTGGGGTGCATTAAGAGGAGCGTGGCCAGCAGGTCGAGGGAGGTTATCCTCCCCCGCTACTCTGCCCTGCTGAGACTCCACCTGGAGTACTGTGTCCAGTTCTGGGCTCTCCAGTACAAGAAAGACGAGGAACTCCTAGAAAGAGTCCAGAGGAGAGCAACTAGGATGATTAAGGGACTGGAGCATCTCCCCTACAAGGAAAGGCTGAGAGAGTTGGGCTTGTTCAGCCTGAAGAAGAGAAGACTGAGGGGGGATCTAATCAACATGTATAAATATCTGAAGGATGGAAGTCACGAGGACGGAGCCAGACTCTTCTCAGTGGTGTCCAGCGACAGGACAAGGGACAATGGGCACAAAGTGAAACACAAGAGGTTTCAGTTGAATATGAGGATGAACTTCTTTACTTTGAGGGTGACAGAGCACTGGAACAGCCTGCCATGGGGGGTTGTGGAGTCTCCTTCTCTGGAGATATTCAAAGCCCGTCTGGATGATGTCCTGTGCAATGTGCTCTAGGTGAACCTGCTTTAGCAGGGGGGGTTGGACTAGATGATCTCCCGAGGTCCCTTCCATCCCCTGCTATTCTGTGACTCTGATTCTGTGTGATTCCTGCAAGTTCATTGCAGCATAATTTCTGTGTAGTTTATTGCCCTCTCTGGTTTGAAAGGGGTGTCAGCATGGCTTTCCTGAACTGAGCTTTTCTCCAGTCTTCCAGTCCTGTGCTATCTGAAAGTGAAAACATCAAGTCCATTTCTACATGGGACAAAATGTTCCAGTGTGTTAGCAGGTTAAAGAAACTTTGAAACCAGAGTTCCTTTCACTGTTCTGGGGCCAGATCCCTCCAGTCGATCCAAACTAAATAGCACCTGGGGAGACAGGAGGCCCTTGTTAGTGTAGGAGTGGTTCACGCTCCGTCGCTTGAAGGGAAGGTGCTAAGCTAAAAATGCAGAGAAACAGATATAGCAAGGAACATCTTTCAGCAGGGAAAAAACTGAATTGCATTTGCAGGCAACATTCTTCTAATACAAAACACATCTTACCAAAGGATACTGGGGAAGCTACAGCCCTTCTGTTTTGGTACTCGTCTCCTGTGTTTTATCCTTACACAAGGAAGGGAAAAAGATATCTGAGGATTTTTAGAGGGACTTGTGGCCCTTGATATTTGATTATTTCTCTCCTTAGGATGGAGAGTCTGCCTGAGTTGCTTATACATGACTGGTGAGGACAGATTGGTGACACATTGGTGTCAGTTGTTTCTCTTGTACTCGCCAGGTTGGTACTTCCCTGATCAAAGTACAAGCTGGGATAGTTATGTTTATCTCATTTCTTCTTCGTCTTTTATACAGGAAGCATTAAAAATTAGACTCAGCAAAATTTTAGAAATGCATTGGAAGGCTTGTTTCTTTAAAGCCTTTTCTCTCTGACATCTTTTATGGCAAAATGCAG